CGCCTTAACCACCTAGCCATGCCGGGCCCCGCAATAGAATGCAAAAATTAATTTGAAAAGAACGTATTCCAAATAGAGAGAAATTGAAATCCGTTTCATTGTTTACCAACGTATATTCATTTTGAACATTTAAGTTTTATTTTCATTTTAAAGTATGCTTCATTCTATAATGTTTCATGATTTAACATATATATATAATATAATGTTTCATGATTTAACATGTATATATAATATAATGTTTCATGATTTAACATGTATATATAATATAATGTTTCATGATTTAACATGTATATATAATATAATGTTTCATGATTTAACATGTATATATATTATAATGTTTCATGATTTAACACATATGTATTATGTTTCATGGTTTAACACGTTAATATTCGAATGTTCCTAGATCCTTCCTTGTGTTCTAATTTGTTTCCGTGAATGGGCCAGTCGAGGCCTAGCGGTTGATATTTTGGGCTGCAAACGGAAGGTTCGAGACTATGCTATGCAATTTCAGCTGTGGACGACGTTCTGTTGGCAGTAGCCATGTAGACGATCGTTGCCGCCGACTGGTTGCATTTCTAAATTAAGGACGGATATGCCCATATATCGCATGATGCGCCGTTCACTTGAAAATATCAAATCCAAAGTAACCCGTAAATTTAATACAGCTACTTTCATGGACAAAGAAGAAAGGTCCCTGCTATTTGCAAAAGTGTCTCGCTTTCACAGTGGTTTCATCCTACTTGAGTTAGTGTAAGATGATCGCATTAGTGTAAATGGTATAGTTTAATAAAGCTATTCGATCACCATTTAAAAATCTTTCTACCAATATAAAAACCAAAAATGCTATTTTGCTTCATTGTCAGAAACTTACAAGCACTTTTTTTAAACAATTCTAATATTCTTTGGTCACTGCCACCTGAAAATTGAATAGGAATTTAACTCTCCGCCCATTAAGAAATACTTGTGTTTACTAGTGAGAACCCATTCCGCCTATAAAGAACTTAAGGCTGTCACTGCTAGAATGAACGTTGTTGTTATTGTTTTTTTTTCTTTATTAGAAGATGAATCAAGGCAGAAACATTTTACTTTGATTCTTTTAAGTGTTGCTTAGAGGTTTTGAAAAATTAATAACATGTAAAAATCGTATTGATCCAATGTAAACTGTCACAAATGAATGTGAAAATCGCCTTGTTTTTACTTTCATATGCCTTCAAGACGCTTTTGATAACGATAAAAACCTATAGTCTTGCTCATATTATCTTGTCCTATAAGCTCCTCGAAAAATCCGTAGAGGTGACTGTCTGGAATCAGAGTCCCACAGGAAACAAGTCTATTCTTGGAGGAACAGAAATCCCCCTTCGGAAAACCGACCTTCAGGACTGCCCAGAATGGTATCCTCTGACGATCATTCAAGCACCAACTCAGAAGCCACCACATAGCGGCGTGTCGTGTCATGACGTAGCACGTCAATTCATGAAGCAATCAGGAAACTATCAAGGGAGCACACAGTCACTTTCAGGTAAGTCTTTCCTTAGTGGGCATAGCCTTCACTAAATCCGAGACAGGTACAGTCCCTAGTTTTTGTGGGAAATTCTGCTCGATGTTTACAGGTAAGTCTTTCCTTAGTGGTCATGGCCTTCACTAAATCCGAGACAGCTACGGTCCTTAGTTTTTGTGGGAAATTCTGCTCGATGTTTACAGGTAAGTCTTTCCTTAGTGGTCATGGCCTTCACTAAATCCGAGACAGGTACAGTCCCTAGTTTTTGTGGGAAATTCTGCTCGATGTTTACAGGTAAGTCTTTCCTTAGTGGTCATGGCCTTCACTAAATCCGAGACAGGTACAGTCCCTAGTTTTTGTGGGAAATTCTGCTCGATGTTTACAGGTAAGTCTTTCCTTAGTGGTCATGGCCTTCACTAAATCCGAAACAGG